GTGCATAAAAGAAGTGCAGAATGATAATAATATCAGCTTGGAGGGTTCAGGGTATCTCCTAGTCGAGTAGTCTCGACTAGAGCCTTCATACTTGTTGTTTATAACTAGCCTGTCACCCATATATTTGTAAAAAGCGTATATCAAATACTAGAGACTTGTACCTTGGCACATACACGCACTTTAATGTCATAATCACGATCAAATCTTTCATGGCCAGTGGCCATAGTCTATAAAGAAGAAAAGTTATTAAGCACGTTGCGGCCGATGCGTGTTTTTGCTTGTATCCCTATGTTTATCTGTGTGTGACTATGTGTGTTTCTTGTGTAAGCAGAAAGACGCGAACAGTTATTGTGAAATATCAATTCCTCGAAGGGTTCAGGGGATTTCGTAGCCGAGAAGTCTCGACTAGAGCGTTCCTACTTGTTATACTCATTCACGAAAGTGAATTAGTACATTGGTTTTGTGCAATGTCCGTCTTGTCCGTCCGAAGCTAGAGACCTAAAATTTTTCCCTATCCACCCACTAAGGGCCTGGCAAGTCGGAAAATGCATTTTCCGATATGCCAGAAATTATATTAGTTGAAGAGCTAGAAAGCTGAAATTTGGATGTACATAGATCCGCATCGACCGAAGATCATGAGCTATGGCGGATACACATATCTAGGGGCCTGAAGATATAGTGATTGCTTACATTCTTTATTATTTTGAACGCTATTGATGCTAGAGACCTCAAATTTTGTATATCGAGCTGACCAGCCAAAGACCAACAAGCTTCGATGGATATATATATATAGGAGCTAGAAGGGTCAAATGTGGATAGTTAAGTTAATAGTAACTCTATCGATTCCACAAAAAATATTGTTACGCCTCTTTAGGTTCGCGGCATATCGAAAAATACCCTGCAATTTCTCGTTATTGGAGCGTAGGCATTCAAATTTTGCCGTTAGGTTACCGTTAGCTTTTTCTAAAAACTAAATCGATAAAAACTGAATTTTCGGCAGTATTGGATCTAAACTTGGCTACTAAATTGCTGATGGGGTGTGAATGAGTATTCCGCAGTCGGTAACGCCCGACTGCAACGTTCTTACTTGTTTTCTGATGGATTTATTTGTGATTTTTCAGTGAACGGAACGATCTCGAATCAGATGTTGATAGGTATTTAGAGAATTTAAACATGTTAGAAAACTCACATACCCCACACATTCATATCACGGAGAATGTTCATTATATTTCGCCACCTTCCAATTCCGCTCCTTCCACTGCCTTAGGATAATACAAGTATCATTCTACATATTTATATATATGTTGTATAGCATAGAAAATGAATCCATAATTTTTTTTTTTTTTTTTTTTGAGCTCCGACAGCACTAGTCATTTAGATTTTGAGCATTGACATACTGTTTATTTGCCTCAATTATTTAAGTTGATTCATTAAAAATATTCATTTAACGTTTCGCTTTCATGACAACTCTTAACTGTTCATCAATCAACAACTAAATTCACTGAACAACAATAAATATACATGATCGCAACGTTCAATAAAATCTAATAAACATATAAAATGTTAACAACAAATCAGCCTCGGAATATCGGTTGGTTCTCTCTATGTACGCAAACACTTCAATCAGGACTCGAAAGCGAACGCCTTGGAAATGGTTAACGATATACGCATGGTATTCAGCGATATTTTAGATGAGGTTAACTGGATGGACGAGAAAACCAAGAAAGAGGCCAAGCTGAAGTTGCACAGCATGGCCACCCACATAGGCTACCCTGATGAGATGCTGGACAACGAAAAACTGGCCAAATACTTCGAGAAACTTGACATCAACCCTGATGCATATTTCGAATCGTTTTTGAACATGAACATCTTCGGGACTGACTATTCCTTTAACAAGCTGCGTCAGCCAGTTAACAAAACAGAGTGGGTGCGTCATGCCCGCCCAGCTGTTGTGAATGCCTTCTATTCGTCGTTGGAGAACAGCATACGTAAGTTGTGGAGCAGGAGGAGCAGCCGTATACTGTATACTGTATCCATCCCTTGAATTTTACAGAGTTCCCGGCTGGCATACTGCAGGGTCACTTCTTTAATGCCCAGCGACCCAAGTATATGAATTTCGGAGCAATTGGCTATGTCATTGGCCACGAAATCACTCATGGATTCGATGATCAGGGTCGCCAGTTCGACGTGAAGGGCAATTTGCGTGACTGGTGGCAGCCGGACACTCAGAAGGCCTATCTGAAGAAAGCCCAATGCATTATTGATCAGTACGGCAACTATACAGAGCGAGCGACGGGCTTGAATGTGAGTTTGTCCTAATTTACATACATATATGTATATATAGGGCAGATATATAATTATGTTGGTTTTTTTTTTTTCACACAGTTAAATGGAATAAATACACAGGGTGAAAATATAGCCGATAATGGTGGAGTAAAAGAGTCCTACATCGCATATAAGCGCTGGGTAGAGAAGCACGGTGAGGAACCAAAACTCCCCGGCTTGGACTACACGCCACAGCAAATGTTCTGGATCTCAGCAGGTCAAACCTGGTGTGCTAAATATCGTAAAGGTAAGGTTTCAAAATATATAAAGACTATCAAATGTTACTTCTTATGTATCTTTTCTTGCAGAATCTCTAAAAATGAGAATCACAACAGGTGTGCACTCACCGTCGGAATTCCGTGTACTCGGTTCGCTGAGCAATATGAAGGACTTCGCCAAGGACTTTCAATGCCCTGAGGGCTCGCCGATGAATCCTGTGCAAAAATGTGAAGTGTGGTAGAAACTACCAATAGATTGATTGTATTCCCATTACAAATAAATAAACTGAAGGGCTTTTTAGAAATCTATTGATGATGTATTAGCGCTTAGGTCCACATTGTATGGACTAATCTCACGTAGATTTAGCCTTACTTCCCTAGCGTACTTATGCTAAATGAGCATAATGTAAGAAATTTATTTAATAAAAGTTGTTTGTATGTACCTAAAAATGATTTGTTTGAGATTCGGAGTCTCTGGGATCCGAGCGTATCAACGTGATACCACTAACCAGAGAACACATAGACCGGACACCTAGTGTAAAGCGTCTTGCACACTTACATATGTATTTTCGAACATTAGTTCCCAGACCGCTCGTACGTTAGGCTCGTGCTACGAAAATATGGGAACACAAAATCATTTCTCATCATGCGCTCGACCGAGATGGTGGACTGTTGAAAAAAAGATCCTACTATGCTAAATGTTTCCCTTGCTCTCTCTCCCTCCCACTCTCTATCTCTCTCTCTCTCTGTCTCTCGATGCTCTCTGCTCTCTCAAATTTGTATATTATGTATGTATGCATGTCAGCACAAGCTGCAGTTCACAAAAATTGAAATTTCGTCGCAGCAAAAAGAGTATAGCGAACTCTTTAAACCGTTTGCCAAGCTCGTACAAAATATTTGTGTTTAAGTTATAATTTGTGGGAAGGGTCTGAAAGCGTTGGTGCTCATAATGAAAATATTTTGGTTATTATATATATTTTTAGAGTCATTAACATATATTTTTTAAATATGCACCTATATTCAGTTCGATACTTATCGATTAAAAAGTAGTCGAGACATTCATTACTCAACAGCTGCCTAATGCTGTGATAGTGTATTTCCAGTGCTGCCCATGCATATATCGCACTAATGCGATATATCGGCGGCCCACCACAACCTATCGTTAATATACTATCATCCCTAGGTCCTTTTCACATAGCGTGGCAACTGCCAAATTATTTGTAAAGTCTCATTTTCACATTCTGCGCTTAAAAAATAACGATGTCGGGGCTTAATTTGACCGTCCGTGTGCACCCGGTGGTTTTGTTCCAAGTAGTGGACGCATTCGAACGTCGTAATGCTGATTCACATCGAGTTATTGGCACACTGCTGGGCTCGGTTGACAAGGGAGTTGTCGAGGTTACCAACTGCTTTTGTGTGCCGCACAAAGAGCACGACGATCAGGTAGAGGCAGAGCTGAGCTATGCCTTAGATATGTACGACCTCAATCGTAAAGTAAACGCCAATGAGAACGTCGTAGGATGGTGGGCCACTGGCAACGAGGTGACGAATCACAGCTCTGTCATACACGAGTACTATGCCCGGGAATGCAACAATCCGGTCCACCTCACTGTGGACACGTCGCTCCAAAGCGGTCGAATGGGTCTGCGCGCCTACATTTGCATCCAGCTGGGAGTCCCCGGTGGCAAAACTGGCTGCATGTTCACACCCATACCTGTTGAGCTTACCAGCTACGAACCCGAGACTTTTGGCCTCAAACTGTTGCAGAAGACGGTTAGCGTATCGCCAGCGCATCGACCCAAGACGGTAGCGCCCATGCTGGACCTAGCCCAGATTTCTGAGGCAGCAACAAAGTTGCAATCTCTTCTGGACCTCATACTAAAATACGTGGACGATGTCATTGCGCACAAGGTGACTCCAGATAACGCAGTCGGCCGTCAACTCCTCGACCTAATCCACTCTGTGCCACACATGACTCACGAACAGTTCACGCAGATGTTCAATGCCAATGTACGGGATTTGCTAATGGTTATTACTCTCTCACAATTGATCAAGACGCAGCTGCAGCTTAACGAGAAGCTCACATTTCTGCCAACGGCTTAAATGATGAGCGAATAAATGGGTTTATTTCTAAATTAATTGCGTGTACTCACATTTTTCGTTAATACGTCATAAAATAAAGGACCAAATAGCCGAGAAAACTGCGTTTACTTCTTCGTATACTTTGAAATGAAAAATTGGTATCGTGCATTGACAGTTCATCTTGAGTCTAAAATGCATATTACTCACTCAATTATCGAGATCTTAGAAACTTATAAGCAATACTATATGCATACTGGCTCACCCGACAACTGTTGAAAGCTAAGTATGCTTTATTTAATAATAATAATATTTAAAATAAAATACAGATTGATCTCTCAGCGCAATGGAATGCTCAACATTCTTTGTTACGCACTCTATAGTCAACACAAACAAGCTGGAAAAACATGGTGTTTCCAAATCTAAGCCATATACAGACAGAACGTTTAGCCTAGCGACTTATTGATTTTCATCGCGTATGCCAATATAATGAATGTGTTTGAATTCAACTGACACATCTGTAGGAATCATTGAGATTCGTGGCAACAATACATTTTCGCCTTAATACTTACTATTCAAAATGGTGGCCTCAATCACGTTCGTCATTAAGTTTTTAATTACCAATGCTGTGCTATTGCACAGGCGTGGTGGGTTCAAGTTACGGAGCAAAATCCCCGGAGATCCGACCATCATATGTAAGCGGTGCCATGGCATGCCTGGTAAATCCAATGAATTCCAAAATTCTATTGGGTAATTCACAGCTTCGGTAGTATCTCAAACTGTATGACACTGAATCTGTTGACAAATGTCCACATCTTTCGCTGCTAAAATGGCTCTTTCTGCTAGCTATTCATGATTTTTATATTGTGAGTGTACATCGGGAAATATACAGTCATTGAGAGCATCTTGCGAGTTAATGATTGTGCAGAAGCCGGTTTGTAATTTTATTGATCCAGTATTTCTCTCTCAAAAAATGAAAGGATATTGGCGAGTATGATATAAACGATGGGTATCAGTAATGAGCTGCAGAGAATTATTTATCCTTCTAATCATCTAATCGTCGTCAATAATAGATGCATTGAATCGACGTATATGCTCTGCAGCTGGTGCTCTATCAGGATTGATAACAATAGCGTGATTGTTACTTTGTAGATGTGGATATCTTATTTGAATAATTTCAGCAATTCATTGTGCTCATTTTACAGAGCGGCCAGCTCGCTGACGGGCATCCATGCGATTGGCGAGTGCGCGTTCGGAGTCCTCGCCACCTATAAAGTAAATTTGTAAAAATTTATAAGGCTCGTTTGGCATTGGTAGCAATGAACCAACTTTGTGGTAACTTCGACTTTGATTTTGAATGTGGAGTTAAATGGTTGACCTTTTGCAACTGTTTCCGTTGCTCCAAACGATGTCATTTGAAAACATTTATTGAATTTTTGAATTGACTGCAAGAACAGTGGAGAATCTGGATCATTTTACTAATACGCGTATTCGTATAAATGGTAAGGCAAACAACGAGCAATCGAATATAATAGTACGTCACTTTTTATCACCAAACGCAAGGTGGCTAATATGAGTCGGCGAATACTCAAATCTAGAGGCATGTAAGGTAGCAGAGCACGAAGATCAGATGAAGAAAGGCACCAAAGCAATGTAGATGTCCGTGTCAGAATTGCGCAGTTACGTGCATCACAATTGAAAGAACTACAAGATGAGCGAAACCAGCAAAGAGATTGGAACGAAGAAAAGCGCGCAGATTCGTAGTCAACATACGTAGAGGAATTGACCGCCAATGTCAACAAGTATTTCGAGCATTCACATCACATTCATTCTTCGCCTAGTATTTCAGTATGATATTGAATATTACGCTCATTCCCAAGTGGTTATTGGTACATTGGACAAGAAATGCCCGCGCTGACATGCACTTAAATTTAAAAATGAGCCGAGCAACACATCCTGCTCATCAGGAAAAAAAACCCAGAAATTAAAATACCGCCGGAACCAATACACAGCTTCCTTATTGGTACTGATCCAGATTCTCCACTGTTCTTGCAGTCAATTCGAAAATTCAATAAATGTTTTCAAATGATATCATTTGGAGCAACGGAAATAGTTGCAAATACGGTTGCAAAAGGTCAACAATTTAATTCCACATACAAAATCAAAGGCGAAGTTTACCACAAAGTTGGTAAACTTGGAAACACCATGTTTTTCCCACGGACAACTAAATGTGGCATGTTCTTGCGTCGGGAAACCATCCAGCTTGTTTGTGTTGACTATAGAGTGCGTAACAAAGAATGTTGAGCATTCCATTGCGCTGAGATATCAATCTGTATTTTATTTTAAATATTATAATAAATAAAGTATATTGCGGCCGCTTACAACGCTTTCGACTATAACTATTATTTATTTTGTATTTAAGTATAAAATATTCCCTGGAAATAATGGATATGGCAAAGCAACGGTTACCGGGTCAGCTAGTAATATAATAATAAGTGCTACCAGTTTAAAAGCTCTAGGTATAATATACCCCTAGTAATAAAAGGTTTGTTTAGTTTGATATTATTGAAATATGCATATATTTTATATAAAACAAATTAATATTTAATCTTCATTTTTAAAGAAAAATAGTAATTCACATACCGAATCAATGAAATTAATAGAATTCGCAATTGAATGGAAATTGGAAATATTAAATGCTTAATTACAATAAATAAGAATAAGAAAGTACGGTAAATATATATTAGAACGAATAATTCGTTTATGCTTTAATTCAAATAATAACGGAAATTATTATTTATTTCTGCAGGTGTAATCAAATTTGTTAGTGTCTGTGTGTACATTACATCATTTAAGGTATCTTGGGTACCTCGTCATGCTTTCCATTTATACATATGTAGATCTCTAAATATCTAAAAGCAATTCTTCAAAATGAATTAAAAGACGCTTCGATTAAACAAACGAACTCTTCTGCTAATTTAAAATTCAGAATATTTTCTTACAAATTTAATGTTTTAATTTTTTATTTATTCATTTTTTATATTTATTTTTTTTTTATTTCGTTAGTTTGTAAACGAACCTTAAATACGTATCTATGCATGTACGCAAATTCAAAAGGTAATAATATGTAACAACATTCATAGAAATTGGTCGTCAAACAATTTTCAACACTCGTATTTTACATTTGATAAATACACCGAAATTCGACTTTGATTTTCCAAAAAATAAAAATCAGAGCGATAGAGGTTGGCTTGCATATGTCTTTGCAAAATGATGGATATATAATATATAAAAAGGTCAGATCTGAATCAATAACATGCTATTTAGAAAATTGAACAAGATTATGTATGTTATATAAATTGACTTTAGCTTTAACATTTAACATGTACATGAAATATTTATATATGCACTACTACAAAGCAACAAAAATCGATAGTTGCACACAATCATCCACCTATTGACCCCTCCAGACACCCTAATTAGACACAGCTGAACTTGATACCATCATCGCTGGAATAACAGTTTTGGCAGTGGAGCTTGTGGTTCCGCACGCGGACATCGGTGCCGTTTAGTCCGTCGCCCAGTTGCACATGGCATACGCAGCACTTGAAGCAGTTGATGTGATAGAACAGCAGCAAGGATTCAATTATCATGGCAGCTCCGCGACCTGCAGCAAAAGACAATATTAATTATATGTCGAAATGTAAAATACAAATACAAAATATATTGAAATGCTTGTAAGCGGTATTCGTTTGGTACCTTTCTGGCAGCCTTAAAATGCAGCTATATTTCGTATAAATTTTATGTATATTATATTTTTCAATTAGTTAATTGTCTGATTGCCGCCAGCTCTACACCCATACAATATACTTAAGTGCTTTGTGGACTCTTCGGCAATTGTCATGGGTGCACCCCAGATCTGGGAGCAGCATGTATACAGAAAGAAAAAAATAGTAAAAAAGAAATGCAGAGAAATACGGAAAAAAAAGTTTTTAAGTAAAAAAGCAGCATGTATACAAACTCTTCACGCTCTAACGTGAATTTCTAGATATAATTTAGTACTTGTGAAATGCATATTTAATGCTTTAGTTATTAATTATAATTAATAAAATGATTTAGTGAAACTACTCATTTTGAATTTTTATGAAAGTGCATTTTACATTGAATTTCCTTTTTTTTTTTTTTTTTTTTTACTCTCAAAAGTTTGAATATGAAAATTTAAAATTAAAACCATGAAATAATTAAATTAAATTAAATATTTTTATGATATGTAGATATAATAAGCACAGCGTGTTCTTTACGTAATGCATTTTAACCGATTGCAGTTATCTAATTTATATCGAATTCTCAAGTCTTTATGTTAATATCTCAGAGCTGAAGAGTAAATAGAAATTTAAGAAGAACCACACTCACAACCAACGTAGTAGCAAAGTTTACCTAATTCGTCGCCGCAATGTGAACACTTCTTTTTGCCACTAACGCTGAGCATCTTCTCTTGATTGCTGTTGTTGTTGTTGTTGTTGTTGTTTAGTATGTTATTATTATTGTTGTTGTTGCTGCTGCTGCTGAGTGGTTTGAACCCAAGTCCACCGATATTCAACTGACTGTAGGTGCCATTGCTATCGAAGCTGTGTAAAGTAGAAAATGATATTATAAAAGATATATATATATTTATTTATTTATTTTTTGTATTGCACCGAAGGGGAAAGGGATCGCTCATCGCTTTGCAATATTAATAATTAGATTACATCATTTCACTCCACTCGGACAGACATACGGACAGGGCTATATCGACTCAGCTCATCGACCTGATCAAGAATATATGTACTTTATGTGGTCTACGATGATTCCTTCTGCCTGTTAAATAACTCGAATTTGACAAAACCATTATGCGATTATTTCCAATTGGCAATGGGTTCAGGGTATAACAAGGAAGAAAGCCCGACTACGAAATTCCCTGAACCCTTCGAAGAATTGATATTTCAATAATTCAATAATTCTCTACAGGAAACAGAGATGCAAGCATAAACACAAATATAGGGATGGGGATAAATTATAAAAAAAAAATCGAAATTTTATAAAATACATATCAGTCTACATTTAAAAATTGCCGATATCAATGACTAAACATATTCCACATATTCCTATTTGCAATACTTATGGCTACCTACCGCTTACGTTCACCGATGCCTTTGCTTTGGACACGTTCGGTAAGCGTCTGTATGACGGAATCAGGCAGCGGCTTATCATTCGATGTGGATATGGGCATGGAGTGCCTGTTCAGCTGCAGCTGCTGCTGTTGCTGTTGCTCAAACTGGCGGCGATGCTCGGCCTCTTGGAACAGCCAGTGATTGGTATGACCGCTGTTAAAGAGCGTCCCGTTATAATCCGGAATGGATTTGTGCTTCTGTAGCCAACAGCCATCATTTATAAGACTGCGTTGCTGTTGCTTCTGCTGTACCTGCACCCAGCCATCGGTGTACTTTGGCTTGGGGGTAGCACTCAATGCCAGCAGAGTGTTGCGCGACATGTTGCTCAGATTCTGTACCGACTGATGCTGATAAGTGGCTGGGAGGTTGGCTTGATAACGCGGTGCGGACGCACCTGTTGTTGCTGTTGATGTTGCTGTTGGCGCAATTTTGACCAAAGATCCGCCGTACGCACTGCGCTGTCGCGCACTGACGGCGTAGTCCGGCTCCTGACTGAGACCATTGTTGCTGAGGTGCATGGCGCGCAGTGGCTTTATTGGCGGCGTCGGTGGCAACATGAGGCGCTTGGAGAACTCATTCAGATCTGACATGGACTTACGATAGTCCATGTCCAGCTGCTGGTAGTGATATGGTGCCAGTGGCAGTGATCGCTGCTGCTGCTGTTGCTGTTGCTGTGGCACATTTGCATATATCTGTTGTGTTGACTGCTGTGGTGGTTGAAAGGCGCTTAACATGCCATTGCCAATGCCCAAGGCATGATGCAAATCCTGTAGCGAGCGTCGATTGTTCGACATCAACATCTGAGCTCCATGCTGCAGTTCACGACGTGCCAGATTTTCGCGAAGTAACAAGTTCTCACGTTGTCTTTTAAGCTCCTCCTTCTTTGATATGAACAAGTTAAAAATCAATTAGATGGCGTTTTAATGACTAGACGAATCCGTCTCTTACCGAGAACTGCAGTAGCTCCTGCTCTACACGCAGTACCTCGCCTTGCTCCCGTATCTTCTCTTCAATGGACAACATCTTTGCATTGGCAGTTGCGGTTGCCTCACTCAGCGATTGGGTTGCAGCCGCTGCCGCCGTAGCCGATTCCGTCCACGACTCAGCTGAGGTGCCTTTGACCGTTTGCAATAACGGGGTCTGTGCGGCCAGCAGCGACTTGTTCTGATAGATGACTTCGCCCACCAGTTGCGACGGCGCCAGCCCCTCTGTCGGCGGTGGCGTGGCCTCCGACTGGGTATCGTTATCCTCTGAAGAGTTCGTATAGTGTTCACTGCTTTGACGCGAATGATTCTCTGAGACACCCGAGTCCCGACTTTCACCTGTCACGAAGGATAACGTTAATTAGTCGGTAATTCGTATATCAACCTCACTTTAAGATAACATAATTTAAATGTACGAATCGTTATCTGATTGTCTGTAGGTTTCAACGCAAATCATTTCGTGAAATAGGGTTTGCAAGAGCAGAGCCAAAATATAAACATACTCGTAAGATATTTACATTTTGAATATTCATTAATATTTACTTTTCATCAGTATATACCTACATTATATATATTTTATAAATGTAAAAATGTAGAAGTTCTAATTATCTTAATCAATAAATTTCCTCATATACACTGCAGCCTACTGTTAGCATTTCTACTCTTGGTTAGTTTCGCTTTCAATAAGCAAAACATTTCTCATCACTGTTGACGCACTAAACGGATTATTTATACTTAGCCTCACTTCCTATTTTCATCGCCTTTGCTTTACCCCTCTCCTACCGTCCCAGTAGTTTCTTGTTTTTTTTTTAGCTCTATTGGCTTTCAGCCCTTATAACTCTTAACCCTCCACACCACTCACCTGTATCCGAACTGTCACAGAGACCTGCCTTGATGTACAGTTGCTTCTCGAGTCGCCGCTCCTCCTGCAGCAGCTGCGCCATGTCTGGCGGAGTCGCAACCGTGAGCTGAAGATAGCTGTCCACATCATCGAGTCCGGCGTCGGCCTCGATGCCTAGAAAACTGGAACGCTTGTTGCGCAGCTCCTTCTTGATCCGCTTTGTCGAGTTCATGCGCTTGATTGGCGGCGGCGTGGGCGTACCCAAGCCTGGCTGACCCTGCAGCTGGTTTCGTGACCTACTCGATATGGTTTCGTACGTATTGTCCGATGACCAATTGCTGGTATCCAACTCATCATCATGTGCATTCAGGCTGACTTTATTTATCTCTTCTAAGATCGGCTCTGTGGGCGGTGGCGGCGGTTTCTCCTTGGGGGGCTCCAAAGCCGGTGCCAAGCTCGTGACACAATGTCCCAGCTCCAGGCCCGTGTAGAAGACGTCAATGTTCTCGTAGACGGGTATTGGGCGGAGATGTTTAGGTGCATCGTAGTAGGGTTCCGTTGCCCTCGGCACCTGGTAATAGGGTTCTAGGTCAGCAGCTGTCGTCTTTGAATTTGATTCGATTTGGCAGCTGCTGCTGTTATTGTTGCTGGTTTTGTTATTGTTAGTTTGATTATGCTCGTTGTTATTGTTATTGTTGCCATTATGTGGAATGTTTCTTATGTGGTTACGTCTTATCATCATTGTGTTCGCTGTCAATTCAATATCTATTTGTTGCATAGATATGGTAGACTTAATGTTTTCATAGATGGGCTCATTTCTATTGACTTCCAGATGTTGTTCTCGCTGTTCTAGTTCCTCAATATCTTGTTTCACTAGCGTCTCTACCGTTTTCTGCTCATCCGTTTTATTTGGCATTGTGATATTCGTCTCCTCAAATTCTGCGTTCATCTCCATCACATCTACTTTCGTCTCCTCCTTATGTTCATCCTCTAATCTCTTCAACTTCATTTTGCTTTCACTATTTTGTTGCTGCTCCTCTATTTCTTCCGGCGCACTATTGGCTTCCCTGTCAATAGCTTCCAGCGCCAAATCAAGAGCTTCGTTGATCTGAGATTCGTAGGAACGAGTGTACGAGTGAGCGAATGAGTCGAAAATGGTCCAAGACAGAGAGAAAGAGAGAGAGAGAAAAAGAGAAAAATGCGCCATCATCGCACACATTTTAATTATGTTATTTTGCTTAAATTTGAATAAATACTGAACTAGCAACAAAAAGCGCAAGTTAATGAATAATAATCAACAATACAGCAAACAATATTTAACGCAAACCCGAAGCACATAAAACAAACCTAGTTAATAATTGTACAAAATATTTTCAAACTAATAACCATAGCGATGGCTACTCGATTTTAATTTACATTAACAATACAGTTTACATACTGAAGCCTGGTTTGCTTCTAATTTGTGTTGGCAAGTTAATATAATTTAATTATGTTTATAAACTATTTCATTTACGTATTCATTTACAGAAAATCATATTTAAGTTTTGAAGTTTCTTTATAGCATTCATCTAAAAATTGAGCATCTCTTACAATTTGAAACAATTTTCGTTCAAAATAGAATTATGCAAAATTAATAAGAAATTTTGGGTATTTGAGAATAATGTGTATAATTCACAGGTATGAGTATGGCCATAAGAGTTCTGAATAGTTATCCTATGAAAAATGACTACAAAACTCGTGCCTATTATTAAAGCCCGAAACGTTTACAGAATTTATGTAGAGGTCAAGCGAAAATGTATGCTTACCATTGCTGTTTGATCACAAATTCATATAAAATACTGATATAGTTTACTTTATTCATTCATAAACCAATCGCCCTTTAACTACGATAGGTAGCACAGTCGCGAATCGACGTACACAAACTATAAACTATAAAGATAAAACTGACAATGAAGGTTTATTGGTAAATAGTTGATGTGAATCGACCACAACTCTTGAAAACCCGAACGCAACTAAAATGCACCTATTGCAGGGGTGGCATAGAACAACGTTCTTTTACGGACAAGCCAATAGATATGTGGCAAAATATATATGTACATATATAGAGCGTGGAATCGAACAAACTACATAGATATGTTTGTGTGTATACATAGAACGCTGCGATGGATTGAATATCGGCTTGGAAGGCCCTAGATATAGGCTAAGGCAACTGTAACTTTTAGCACATGTTCTTATATATACATATTTAGTGTACATATCTGCTGGAACATGCAAAAGGAACAACTTACAATCTAAGAACAAAATAAATAACTGCTAAAAACAGAACATAAAAGCAACGAACCAATAAATGACACAATGATAAATAGAAATTACACATAGCGTGAGCTACAGAGAGGTAGAGATAGCAATGAGAGAGATACAACCGCTTACCTCGAAAATTGTAAACTTGCAACAATTTTTGCTGGCAGTAAGCATGTAAACTATGTAACTGTAGCATATATTATATTTATATTTGTAAATTTACACATTTTAGCCAATAGTGTGAGCGCAAGGCATGTAAGAGAAATGCGTACATATTAAGCTTATATTACAATGTATATTATATAGGCACATCAAGACAAGAAATACGTATTAAATCTTAAGCCCTTGGCGACTTACTTACGCTAATCATCTGAATGGGGAAAAAGAACATAATTAGGACCAGGGCAAAGTGAAAACGTGTATTTTTATACCAGAGACGTGTATTTTATACCTTCCACTTATCACATTGTATTTAAAACTTTATTTATGTTTTTTAAATAGAAATGTGATTACTGAAAAGTATTCGAGGGTATTTCAGCCCTATATTATTCAAAAAATCCGATTACAAAAATTATAAACCATTTCAAGCAATACAGCTAGGTCCTATTACACTGCTTTACACTGCTTGCAGTTTATAATTTTACGAGAGCACAGAAAGCAGTAGTAAAAAATATTTCCGTAGACGTGACGTTTTTAACAATCACGAAGGTCTGGTGGTTTCGTTTTGTTTATTCATAAAACAGCATAACATGATGTTTCTTTTATTTAGATCATATTAGGTAATTATTTTATTTGTTATACTTTTAGTCATATTTATTGTATATTATAAATTTTTGCATCACGTTAAGTAAATAAAATATATATAACACAAAATCATATATTTCACATTTTCTTTACATAAATGAAATTGTTTTTTTTTTTTTTTTTTTGGTACAAAAATATTTTTAGTAATAAGAACAAAGAATTAATGAAGAAACTTTAGGTTACATAGCTTGATCCCCAGAAAAATAAATTTAAATTTCAATTTAATATGCATAATAACAATAATCAAAAAAATGTAATCAAAAATTCATGTAAACTTGTAAGATGATTCATAAATAAATTAAATTTTTCAAAGACATTCGATTGATTACATTAGATTAAATATAGAAATTGGAAAACTATCGCCTAATCTTAAATTTCATTCCAGAAAATTCTTGTTCCCCGAATTATCCGATTGAATTCTCAAGTTGTTTAGTGACCAGCACCAACCACCACCCCTACAGTCTACCCCAGCTTGTTGAGCTCATCATCAAGTAGATCGCTAATCTCCTGGCTTAGTGCTTGCTCTGTGTTGTGCTCTTCAAGAATCTCATCTGTGGTTATGGTTTTTCGTATCTCAATGTTCACTGGAGCTGCAGTTTTTGGTAACGGCGGAGCCGCCACAGAAGGCGCATCGCTGGCCAAATAGAATTTCGAGTTGTCCACCTTAAAAAACTCGTCGGCACTGACTACATCGACACCGCTTCGCGTGCTGGTGAGGATTACTTTCGGCTCAAGAGTTTCATTGAGCGTGGGATGTTGTTGAGGCGTAGTCGACTCGTCGTGATTTCCGAAATTTCGACGCAAGAAATCAAATATGTTGGTCTTATTTTTCTTGTCCGTGCTCTTATCCTGACCATCCTTAGATGTTTTGGGCGAGTTGGATGGTATAATCCGCTTGATATTAATCTCTGTCTCTTCGATATGAGTGCGTGCTATGAGGGGCTGCTCTGCGCTCGCTGGTAGATAGCCCGTTCTACCAATGGAGTCTGTGTTAGAAGCCGATACACAGCAAGACTTGGGTATAGGAATCTTCGATTTACGACTCACTGTTGGCGTACCAGGCGTAGAGCTTGTGGGCGTAACATGCCCGCCCCTTGCATTACCAACTGGTATTGACGATTTCATCATTCTGCTGATTGCCAATCGTTCCTCGCCAATAATCTGCTCACAGCTGTCCATAAGCGCCTTTGAGTATGCGGCATGCGCGTCTCTTATAGGGGAGCTCGGCTTGGCACTGTGGCTGCTGTAGTCTTTCCTTGGCTCCTTAATTCCCTGAAAGCCATCACAGCGCTTTACATCCTCATCGCTTATGTGCTGGTAGCCAGTAGCCGGGATCGGCTGTTGTCGCACATCGATGCTTTCACAACTAGGCTCTTGTGTGGGCGCGAGACAGTCAAGCAGACTCACACATAGGGCCACATCCTCTTCTTTGGGTACGGTTGAGTTGTTCAGCTCCTCCTTAATCACGCCGTCGCAACTCTGCAGCTGCTGCTCGGTTATTACCTGGCAGCTGGTGCTGGGCAACTTGGGCATCTTGGTCACATCAATTTTTTCGTAGAGAAACTCCTCTACGGCGTCCTGATTCAGATGCTTTTGATCTTCAGGCGACAGTTCCAGTTGCTGTTTAATTGCCTCACGTTCCATAAATTGCTGACACAGTCTGGCATCGGGTACGGCGCCCGTCAATCGTGGTGACGTGGGCGCTGAATTGGCCAGCTTGAATAGACTGGACTCGTTGGGTGTACAGACACGCAGGGCGGGCATTGTAGAGGGCGATGTCACATGCACCTCCAACGAATCATTTGGTGCCAGGGGATCTAAATTGATCGGCTTGATGGGTGGCTTTGCACGCACCTTGGCTGTGGGTGGTGTGTGCACCACAGCTTGTGTTTGACTCACGATGGGCGCATAATCGTCAGAGGCGTAATCAAACGCTTTATCTACCATATCCACTGTGCGTGCAGCCTTTTGAATTGGCTTGGGTGAAACTGGTGCCGTTATCTGCGGTATGCGACTGCGTGACATAACCTTCGGCAATGGATTTGATATTGCACTGAATTTCACATTTGAGCTGGGAGTTGGAGATGTGCACTCGTACGGTGTACGAGTGTCAGTTGGCGGCTTTGAGGGCGCTGCAGCCTGGCCAAAACAACTCGATAAAGCTTTGACTGTGTTAGGTTTCGGTAACTCGTCGGGTGAAACTATTGTAACTGCTGGTGAGCACATCACAACCTCACGCTCATGAATCTGCATCTGTTCGCTCTTACCAGCTATTGGAGATGTTAGCTCATCTCTGAAAGCTCGTTTAAGAGGAGGTGTTGCTGGCTTGTCCATTTGCCGGGAATTAAATATCTCAACGCGTCCATTAATGTTGAATTGTTGAGGCGTGGTAGCTGCAGGCTTAACGCGCATTGCCTTAGGCGACATTGGTGGTTTGCCTAGTGGACGCGGTATTTGTGTACTCTGTAGAACGACTGAACCTACGCTATTTGGAGGCGATTCGGTCGGAGGTACTGCAGTTGTTTGCTTTAAGGAGGTTACTTCTGATACTGGCGATGAGCTCGAAGCCAAAGTCGGACACAAAACTGACGGATTTTCTTTCTTAGTAAAGTCAAAGATCTGGCTACGCTGTCCAGGGGACTTTGATACTACTAGCTGCTCGTTGACCTGCTCGCTGACCTCCTCATTCAGGTCGTAGTCATTCTGAAAGGTGTCCTTAAACATTTTCAACAAATTGCGCGCATGGACCATTTCATTGGAGGGCATTCTACGTAAGTTACAATTTTTTAGTTGGGGGATATAGGGATTGGGTTGGGTATTGGGTTTGGGTTGTACCGACACCGTATGAGAAGCTGAAGCTACTACAATATTATCTTTATCATTATTAAAATCATCATAATGGACACCATTTCGTGGACTTGATATGCCGGTTTCGATAAAATGGTTAGTAGAACTTACACTAAATTCCATGTCACGAGCCTCTGGCTGAGTAGCGGCTGTTCTCGTTGAGGATGTCTCCGTCGAGGGCACTGATGAGGTAACAGTAGTTGCTGCTGTCGCATTGACAGCAGGCAATGCTATTGGTTGCATATCAGTAAGCTCATCAAATTCTGCTTCAATTTGATTGACTGCATTGGCTGCCTCCTCCAGCTGACGCTCCTCGAGTGCAAGAGCAGCTATCGCCTCATTTAATTGCTGCTGTTGTTGCTGCTCCCTAAGCAGTTCTTCGTTATTGTCCACCTGAATGCCACTGTCATCGTGCGCTGCCTTTTCCACAATCAGTGCTGGTGGCGTTGTCAACTTCTGTTGTTCCTTTTGTTCCTGTTGTCGCATCCGTTGCTCCTCGCCACGCATTATTTCCAGTTGCCTGGCATCGATTAGCGCTACGAGTGGTGGTTTTTTCTGTTCTTGTTGCTCCTCCTCTTTGGTAACGACATGCTGCTGCAGACTGTTAAGGCGATGTTTCAACGGGGGCACAGCTACATCCACGCTTTTACTGGAGTTGAACTCGTTGCGCTGCAGTTCTAGGCTCTGCAAGCGATCACGAATGCTGCTTATGTCGCCAGACAGACGTTTAGTCTCCTTCTTGGCCGTGGGCTCAACTGCGGCACCATTACCATTGGTCAAACTCTCCCGCAGTATTAGCTTTTGCTTGGGAGCCCCACCATTGGGTATTTTGACCTTAGGCTCAGGGTCGCGTTGCTCGAAGATCTCTTTGCGTTTCAATATGTCTACCCTAGGTACATCCACTTTTTGCTTCTCGACACCCTCCTGAGTGTCGCTTGGAGACGTTACCTCAAAACCACTCAACCGATCCTCGATCTTGCTGCCACGTCGCGTGGGATAGCCAATGGATTCTCCAGTTTCAGATACTGCATTGTTATTGCTAATTCTTCCATTGCTGCTGGCCCGCTGAACGCGCTGTTTGTAATCCTGTATGGCTCCTTCATAGGTGTACTCACAGGGATCGGCAGTACTGGCAGGCGGTGTGTATTGCCTTGTAGCTTCTACTACTGCTGTGGCTACACGGACTGACTGCAATTTGCTGGTGCTCGATGTACTCGTCTGGTTGCTAACGTTATCGTCAACCTGGTTCCTGTTGATGTGATTCTGTTGCGCCTTAGTATTAGTAGCAGCTGTTGTGCCAATGGCTTTGTCCAACTCGGCGTTATCACTCTGTTGAATTCAGGATAGAATTCATTCATTAAATTTGGAATACATATTTAGTTGAAATATATATATATTTATATATAAGGCTATCTTTATTTTCTGACTTGATATCAGTAATTAGTTCGTACTTCTATCATGCCCATCTTAATGTATGTCTATTCGTAAACAAGCAAAGCTAGATACATGAGATTTGTAAGACACATTCTTTTCACTCCCACAAATAACGAGCAAACGAAATCCAATGTAATTTTGTTATGCAATACTTGAACAAACTCGTTAGGAGTATTATTATTTGCTCATTTTGATATTTTGTATAAAGCTATTACAATTAATATAAAAGTTAATAAAATTATGGATAGATCGATATATAAGATAATGACATGAAAACACTAACATTTTGCTTGAGCATGGCAAACCCTTTCAAGAGTTACATGTACTCTCTAAAGGGAAAGGGCATACAAATAGGCAGAGTAAGAAAAAATAGGCGCGCAGTTTGGCTTCATATTAAAATTCATGCTTTTCGTTTGAGGGCTCGCAGCGCACTGATTTTGGCATGAGATTTTTTCAGTGCCGACGGAGCCGAGCAAATACGAAGTGTTGACACGAAGATATAAGCATTCAAAAACTCGAGTCACTCGACGCCTATATGCTTCGGATAAATGTTGTATTTCTCTTTAGGTCTTATTTATTCTCAGTCATTATACTGAAGGCAGTGGGTTATGAGTTATAGAGCCCATGCACACTCAACTCATATTCTGCCTCGCACTCACTCAGTCAGTCTCATCTCTAATGGACTCTATTTTGATAGGTTATGAGTGCGGCCATGCAGCCATTATTATTTAGCACTCACCATAATGCTATTGTTCTCATAGTCCTCTGATAAGCTGCTTTTACCGCTGGCGCTGCTGGTGCCGATACCCAAATCACTTAAATCATTCGTTTCGTCATCGTTATAAACGGCAAGGGATGCCAATTTGACGCGCCCGCGTGAGGCGCTACGCTCAGCTCTGATAGAAATGGAATAGGATAGAATTAAACTATTTATATTTGATTTTCGTAATTACTGCTTTACTATTACTTACCGCTCCTCCATCATTTCAGTAAATGTCTTCGATTTTCGTCTTGTACGATCATGCTCCTCTAGCTCCAACTTTTTTGTTTCCACAACACGGTCTATAATATGTTCGACACGTTTTCGCCGTGACGATTTCCAATTATCAAGGTTCTTTATTGTTTTGATTTTGTTCGTGTAGAAAAATACCGAAAGTTAACATACAATAATAGCACATTATTTAATACTATACTTATTCTATACTATACCATATAGATACAGTAGAGTGTCGATAATTAAGAATGGCAAGGGAATAGATTTTTTTACGAATTAAAGAGGTTTTCGATTTACTAGGTATTTAATGACGCTTAACGACGCTTAAAAAATCAAATTACGAATTGAAGGGGACTCTTATATTTTGGGATATGCAGATGGTTTTTGACTTCGAGAGGGTGTTCCTATTGTAAATTCCTTTCTGTTAAGAATGGAAGAATCAATATTATTTCCCATTTTCAATTGGTTTAGGTTATAAACAAGTAAGAAGGCTCTAGTCGAGATTACTCGACTCAAGCTGATATTATTATCATTCTGCACTTCTTTTATGCACGCACACATTCATACCCATTCCACCCTCACGCGCCCGTGCTCTGCTAATTGCGCAGTAAGCAGCGACTGCGCTTGGGCTGCGCTGCAATGTGGGCAATAGTATGAGAATTTATTTGACGAATAAATTTTTTTGTAGACATGCAATCTTAATGATTTTTAGAGCGTAATTATATGGTCGAAATGTGTGTACATTCCAAAGCACAAGTCTCTAGTATACGTTTTTTAGAAATTGGGGGCGAAGGCGGCGTGGTATCCAAAATCTGTTGTATACAAAATGTTCGTATTCATCATATGTATATACACAGTAAATCTGAAGTCTCCACGTCTCATAGTATTCCAATAAGGCTCAAAAAGCAAAATACATTTTTCGATTATTCTCGATAAAAAAGTTATCGGATGAGTTATCGAAAAAATAAAGCAAAC